TTTTTTTTTTTTTTTTTTTGTATTATTTGTCAAATAAAAATGTTACAGTTAAATTTATGATACTTTACATGTGCTTTAGTATGTTAGTCAACACACCAAAATAAGTGTACTTCTTTAAAGCACGAAGAAAGTTTCTTAAACACTATTCATAAAACATTATTAAAACGTGTACTTTAATGTATAACATTAAAACATTACAAAGTGCTTTTTTTTTTAAAGTGCACTTAAATGTTTTAAGAAGCATAGTTGTGAAAGTGTACTCTTAACACTTAAGTGGCCTTTTATTTAATTCATGTTATATTATCTGCAAGTACAATTTAAAAAAAATACTTTTAAGATTTGCACATTCAGTACAGTTATGCACACTTCTGTTTCAAGAGGGTAAATAGCAGTAAAAACATTTTTTCATCCATGAGGTGACAATAAATTAATAAAGGCTGGCTTTATTTTCACATGAATTTTAATGAAAACAAACTTTGTTTTCCCACATTTCTTTACACAAATTAAGTTAGCATTTAATAAAAAGAATATATCTTTTTGGATTGTCATATTTTAGCTGTGTTGTACCATACTGTTGAGTGCTAAAAATGCAATGAAAGAGATTTTAAATGAGAACTGATTAAATAATATAACGACTCTTTCTGGTGCCGTTGTAGCGAACAGAAGACTGGAAGTTGGGGAAGCCTCCACATGTAGCTCCCCCACTCCTGAAACTGCCCTCTAGGCAAGTCGAGACAGAAACAGATGGAGTGCAGCGGGTTCCAGAGAGACCACCGCTGCCAGAAGAGGGTTCACATCATCACAGCGAGCAGGAGCAGGCCTCTTACTGGAGTATGTTTGTGTGTGGCACCTACATAACGGGGACCGAATGTCTCCTAAAAACAGTCAAACCTGGAATCACCTTCACTGTGAGGAGCGGTGAATCATTCCTGTGAGGAAAACTGCTCAGTAAACATAACAAATTCAACTTTTTAAAACTGCTTACACACAATTTCTGAAACTATATGGCTCCGTTTCTCTCAACTCTACACACACAACATGCACACAACATGCAAAACATTACGCATCTCTTGCAAAAGCACACACGTACATGTATTTGCAAAAATACCATGTATATACAGTGTGCATGCACAATTGATGAACTTTACAGTTATTGAACTGAACCGAATCAACACTGAACTGACTTCTGTACTGTAAAATTACTTATTAGAGCTCCTTTACAGCAAATTTGTTGCTTATTGTATAAAGTGTTATACAATCTCAGAAAAGAAGATACAAAAGGTGTCACTTTTCAATAGGTACACCTTTGTACCCCAAGGGGTCCATATTGGTACCTTAAAAGTACATATTAGTATCTAAAGTGCACATATTACTACCTAAAAGGTACAAAAATGTAACTTTTGAAAAGGTACCGCCCCACTGACAGCTTTTGTACCTTTTTTTTCTGAGACTGTAGAAATAATAGACTTGTATGAATATTCACTATATATTTACAAAGGACTGTAAACAGAAATGCAAGGGTGAAAAATGTATTTGTTTCTCTAAACATTGAGTTTCTAAGTCATCAAATGAGGTATATTTACATTAGCAAAAGAAATGCAGAGGGGCAAAAATAATTAATTTCTTCTTCTAAGTGAACAAATGATGTATAAATGTTTTCACACACAATCACTGGCTGTAGGTAATCAGTAACTGAGCATGGCATTAAAAAGGCAGTGTTTCCCAAATTAAACACAAGAGCTGAGAGACGTGTCTAATGTAGAGAACTGCCTTTAGTGTTTTGCAAAAAGCTTGTTTTTCAATTGCAAACTGAGTGTGTCAGAAGTACAACTTTTAGTGTGTAAGCAATTTTTTTAAAAACTAGTAAGCTTTAGGGGATCAAAAATATTATTAGCTCTGAATACAAGTCAGTGCCTTTATGAGTGTGTTCACTAATATTGTTTTATCTGGATGATTTTACGTGTGTGTGTGTGTGTGTGTGTGTGTGTGTGTAAGCGCGGGGCGCATGCAGCAGAGGT